CACCACAGCACACGCGCACACACGCACACACACACACACATACACACCACCACCACAACAACCACAACCACGCACACACGCACGCACGCACGCGCACCACCACCCACTACGCACACGCGCGCGGAGCCACAGGTCCGCTACGACACGCGTCCGCGGAAAATCAGCGCCATGGTAAGGGATGGGAGGGAGGGGTAGGATGTCAGATGTTGACGCGAGCGCACCTGACTTGTCCTCCTCCCCCTCCTCTTTCTCCTCCTCTTTCTCCTCCTCCTCCTCCTCCTCCTACTCCCTCCTCCTCCTTCCTCCTCCTCCCCCTCCCCCTCTCCCTTTTACTCGTTTTTCATATATATGTTTATTGCTCCCTCTGTTTCCTTTTAGTTCTCTCCCTTCTCCACTACTTGTTACCTCCCCTCTTTTCCCTCCTCCCTTCTTCTCCCTCCCCCCTCCGTTTGCGCTCCCTCTCTTCTCCCTCATCTCCTTTTTTTTTCCCTCCTTCCCTTACCTCCCTCCCTTCCACCCTCTCCCTTCCTTTCCCGCCTTCCCTCCCCTTTTTCCCTCCCTCCCTCTCCCTCCCTTCCCTACCTTACTCCCTTTTTTTTCTCCCCTCCCTTTCCCCTCCCCCCTCCCTTTCCCTTCCCTTCTTCCCTTATCCCTATCCCTTTGCCCCCTACCTTTCTTCTCCCTTCCCTCCCTATTACTCCTCGCCTTCCTATTAGACCAACGCAATGTATCCTCCCTCCTCCTCCTCCTCCTCCTCCTCCTCTCCTCTCCTCCTCCTCCTCCCCTCCTCCTCCTCCTCCTCCTCCTCCTCCTCCTCCTCCTCCTCCTCCTCCCTCCTCCCTCCTCCTCCTCCTCCTCCTCCTCCTCCTCCTCCTCCTCCTCCTCCTCCTCCTCCTCCTCCTCCTCCTCCTCCTCCTCATCCTCCTCCTCCTCCTCCTCCTCTCCTCCTCCGCCTCCTCCTCCTCTCCTCCTCCCCCTCCCCCTCCCCCTCCCCCTCCCCCTCTCCCTCTCATTCTCCTCCTCCTCCTCCTCCTCCTTCCTTTTCCTCCTCCTCTCCTTCCTCCTCGTCCTCCTCCTCACTCCTCGCCTCGCTCTTTCTCCAGCGCCTCCTCCCTTCCTCCCTCCTCTTCCTCGCCTCCTCCTCCTCCTCCTCCTCCTTGTCCTGCTCCTGCTCCTGCTCCTGCTCCTGTTCCTTCTCCTTCTACTGCTTTCCTTCCCCCCCCTCCTCCTCCACCTCCTCCATCCCCTCCACCTCCTCCTCGCGCCGCGGCCGACCGAATTCTAGCGCGAGCAGGCGTTGCTCGGAACCCTTCGGCGGATCGCGAAGCGAACGAAGGGGCGCGGAGCGAGGCTGGCGCCGCCCGCGCCCCGGCAACGGGCAGCACCTCCCGCGTCGTGAATGCAGCGCAGATCCTGCGCCCGCCTGCGTAGCATGTCCTCCTGCGTAGCATGCCCTCCTGGTAGCATTGGGTCGGGCATGCCCTCCTACAGGCGGATGTTGCAAAGAGCCCGAAACAAAAACAAAAACACACAAGACTGTCAAATAGCACGGACAATCGCCACCAGAGTACCTTCAGCCATTCTTGAATCCCGCTCCTGCGGAGAGGCATGCTCGAGATAAGCGCAGCCGCTCCCGCCCTCCCGCGCGCTGCGTCGGCACGCCCGCGGCGGCCCACACGATCTGAGCGGCTCTGCCTTCTCCTCCCCTCTGCCCGGCGCCCCCGGCCCAAGGCGCCCCCCACTTCCCGCTCCATCTGGGGGCCCCTGCGGCCCTTCGGGCATCGCGAGGGGTGCTCTGGAGGTCGCGGGGGCCTCCTTGGAAATCCTGGGGGCGCCTTGGGCCCACTTCGAAATCCTGGAATCCTGGAAATCCTGGAATCCTTGGAAATCCTGGGGGCCTCCTTGGAAATCCTGGGGGCGCCTCGAGCAACGCCCACGTCTGCTCTCCCCGCGCCCCGCCGTGCCCCGATTCGCTTCCGGCGTGCCCGCGCCCGTGGCCCGACTGCCGCCTGCACCCGCTTGGGCTCGCCTGCGCCCGCTGGCTCGCAAACAAAACTGTTGGGCCGCTGCAGCGCACGTCCTGGCGAAAGTCTGTACCCTTTACGGATGTTCGGCCGCTAAAGCCTGTTCACAAACGTCCTGGCGAAAGTCTGTAGCCTTTACGGATGTTTCAAGGAACCCATGGCTGTCTCAAGGAGCCCCGGCGACTCGACACGGCCCCCTTCAGAGTCTTTCGGGATCCTGGGTGTACGGATGTTCGTTCTGAGAGGGAAAGGGGAGGGACCTGGAGTAGGACTGAACATGTCGTGCGGAAGCCGATGGGTTCCCGGGCGATTTCTTCAGGAATGGGAATCCTGCGGGCGCGCAAGGACAAGCAAGGTCCCCTCGGAAGTCAAAGGTTTTTTTTTTTTTTCAGCGGACCCGATGACTCCCGCAGGGATCATATTGATTCACAAGAAGTCTTGCAGATATCCTGGGGGGCTAAGCCTCGACTCTGAAGATGTCTAACTATGGAACCCCGAGCTTTCCCCCGAGACCCTCTGGAGATCACCTGGGACATCCAACGCGTGTCTCCCGACATCCGTAGGAACGGGAAACCCCTACGGATTCCTGGTGGACTTGTTCGGGGATTCCGAACATTTGTTCGGATCTGTCACGGGATCCTGGGGATTTCCGCGGTGGTCTCACCGATGTCCCGAAGGATCCTATGATGCTTCATCGCGCGCGCTTCGGGTCGCCTTCCGCCAGCCAGTGCCTCTGTTTCTGCCCAGCACAGGGACACCCGAGCTGGCCGCGCGCGAAGCGCGCGGCTCACAGTCGAGGAGGGTGCCCAGAGCCTGGAGGGAGGAGGAAGGAGGGAGGAAGGAGGGAGGAGGGAGGAGGAAGGAGGAAGGAGGAAGGAAGAGGAGGAGGAGAAGGAGGAGGAAGGACCTCGCTTCCTCCTTCCTCCTCCTCCTTCTCCTCCTCCTCTTCCTTCCTCCTTCCTCCTTCCTCCTTCCTCCTTCCTCCCTCCTCCCTCCTTCCTCCTCCCTCCCTCCCTCCCTCCAGGCCCATACAGCCTCAGGCCGCAGCCCGAGGAACGCGGCGGCCCACGCAGCCCGGAGCCGCCGGAGCCGGCGCCCCGAGGCGCGCGACCCAGGCCGGAGCGTCGGCCCCCCCGCGGCGAGCGAAGGGAACCTCACCCTCCCCCCTTGAGAAACTCGCCCCGAGTGGCCTGGGTTCACCTCCTCCTCCTCCTCCTCCCTCCTCCTCCTCCTCCTCCTCCTCCTCCTCCTCCTCCTCCTCCTCCTCCTCCTCCTCCTCCTCCTCCTCCTCCTCCTCCTCCTCCCCCCTGAGAAACTCGCGAGTGTGGTGACGTGGGTTCACGTGTGGCCTCCGAGCCCCCCCCACCACTCGCGGAGGGAGACCCCGCTGATGCGCAATCCCCGGTCGCGCAGCGGGCGCCGGCCTTGTCCCGGAGCGACCCTTCCACCGAATTCGCGGAGCGAGGCCCTGGCAGATGCGATGCACGACGCTTCCGCCCTCTGAAGAGGACCGCGTGGGGGCAGAGGCGAGGAAGGAAACCTGCTCAGGTGCTCATGGGGGCTGGAACACTGCTTTTCCGACCGCGCACCCGAACATCCCCGCCCCCCACAGTTCTGAAGAGGGGGCGAGCGGGTGGGATGCGAGCGCCCGTTCTCTTGTGCATCGCCTCGTCCCCCTCTCATCCTCCTCACCCAGTCCTACAAGAAATCGATCCTTCATAAGCATAAACTTTCGGAGGTCCGCGAGGATGTCTTTGATCGGAACTTGACCCCCCCTCTCTGGCGCATGGAGCGCGCCAAGGGCGGCACCTGATACTGATGCACTGTCTCCCGCGCCGATCCAAGAAATCCGCGCGGACCTCCGACAACTTCTGCTTACGAAGATATGTGTCATTCGATGGCCCGTCCTCGTCCTTCCCTCCACTTCCTCCCCCTCCCCGAGGGGAAGAGAACTCTGGCGATGCTGTGGCCCTGGCCGCAAAACGGAGTGCCAGTACGGAGCAAGAAGTGGCGTCACCGATCCGCACGCCTCTGCTCAGGCAGGAACTGATTGAGCCGGGGTAGGCTCCAGGTGAAGGACGACTGCGTAAACAAATGTTTACGTTGACGATTGCGTTGCGATAGCCAGCTGATTTCCTCGGCGGAACCGTGGCCACAACGCTCTGGCAGGAAGTAAGACGATACACACTTCGGCTTTCGGGCACGGGCTGGTCGAGACAGCAGTACAGACAAAGCAATCTATCCGCCGCCGTGCCTTGTGCACATTGAGGCGTGGAAGGATGCCACGGTCTGTATTATCGGGCTTCTGTAATTTTCTAAGCTTCCCCCCCTCTCGACGCACCCAGCGGCATGCAGCGCCCCCTCGCCCCGAGGCCACAATCCTTAACGACATTCGAAGATTCGCGCGAGCAGGTGCTACTCCACGGACCTCTCCTGGGGTGCGTTCTGACCAATAGTTCGGGGCGAAACCAGCGGTGGCGATGAGGGCCGCCCTGGAGGCCCGAAAGGGGGAAAACGGGGGAAGGGTAACCGTCGGTCGGAAGAAGTGGGTAGAAACATGAACTAGGAAGTCGTTGGAAGCAGATTGGGTTTCCGCCCACTCCCTGAAGAGGAAGGAAGGAACAAAAAACGTTTTTTGAATTAGGACGGCGCTTCCAATACATTGGGATCTGGGCATCCAAGAACACCTACAGTGCGTGCGCGGCCGCAAGAAGCCCTCGAAAGAAACCCAGCCCTGAGAACCCGTGCGCGAGGTGCACCTAACGGAAACCTGGAGCACCCTGAACGCTGCAGCTTCTTCAACGGCCGCGGGAAGTCACCGCGCAGCGCGCAGAGTGAAGAAACCCAGGATACCCTGACGGAAAGCATATGGTTCCTTGATGCGCGCTCCCACTGTACATTCAAGGACCAGCGTGTAGCGGTATGGCTAGTTACGTTTGCCTCCTTTGACCCTCGCCATCTTCACGGGCACGGCACGGGTCCTCGAGCGCGGTGAGTGCGCCCCACGCCTTCTGCACGTCGTCCGCCGACATCGCCTCGACGATCTGCTGCTCCTCCGATGGCGGCCGCAGGACTCTTGGGCCCCCGCAGAGGCTAAGCGAGTGGTGACGGACCGTGCGGGGAGCTCGAAATCCCGAGGACCTCACAGCTCGGTCTCGGCGGCGAGCGAGGGGGGAAACGAGGAGGAGAAGGCCTTCTCGGAAGGCGGCGGGACTTCTCGGAAGCCCTCGCGCCCTCTGAGAAACTTTCTGGACTTCTGTGCCTTCTGAGAAGGGCCGCCCCTTCTCGCGCGCCGGGGGCGGCGCCGGAGGCGTGCCAAAACCGGTGCAGATCCAAGGAATCCGCGCGGAGCACCGAACGCTTATGTTCTGGGTCGCCCAAGAGGGGGACGTCTCCGAGGGGGGAGCGCAAATCATGGCCGTCGGCACGTCCGCGGCCCAGGGGGGGGGCAGGGACGTAATGAAATGAGAAGAGGCGCCATGAATCTAGGGAAATAGCATTGAGTATCGTTTAACCGATCCCCATCCCCAGCGGCGTGGCCTGGGCCCCACTGGCCGATTTACCCCCTAGATGGTATACAGGTCGTTCCCTTCGGGTTTCGAAAGGTGTATCCCCAACTGGGGTGGTAATTTGGTGGGGGTCTCGACGGGGATGGGAATGGGGATGGGGATGGGGATTGGTCAGACGATACCGAAGCATAGGCCTCGCTCGCCGCCAACGGTCCGTCACCGCACGGTTTTTGTTGGGGACCTGGCGAGGCCACCGTCGCCCGACACGCCCTCGGAAAGCAGGGCCCGAGGCCCCAAGATCCGAAGGTCACGCCGTACCCCTCCCCGAACACCGACCAACTCGCCTCTCGGTGTAGTCATCATCCTTCTTCCTCCTCCTCCTCTCCTCCTCCTCCTCCTCCCCTCCTCCTCCTCCTCCTCCTCCTCCTCTCCTCCTCCTCCTCCTCCCTCCCCTCCCCCTCCCCCTCCCCCTCCTCCTCCTCCTCCTCCCTCCTCCTCCTTCTCCTCCTCCTCCTCCTCTCCTTCCTCCTCCTCCTCCTCCTCCTCCTCCTCCTCCTCCTCCTCCTCCTCCTCCTCCTCCTCCTCCTCCTCCTCCTCCTCCTCCTCCTTCTCCTCTTTTCCTCCTTTCCTCCTTTTCCTCCTCCTTCCTCCTCCTCCTCCTCCTCTCTCCTCCGCCTCCTCCTCTGCCTCCTCCTCCTCCTCCTCCTCCTCCTCCTCCTCCTCCTCCTTCTCCTCCTTCTCCTCCTTCTCCTCTCCTCCTCCTCCTCCTCCTCCCCCTCCGCCTCCTCCTCCTCCTCCTCCTCCTCCTCCTCCTCCTTCTCCTCCTCCTCCTCCTCATCCCCCTCTTCCTCCTCCCTCTCCTCTTCCTCCTCCTCCTCCTCCGCCGCCTCCTCCTCCTTGGGACCCCGAGCAGAAGTAAAGACTCAAAGGAGGAGGCGAGGACGATCATGATGGCGCGATGCGGTTGGCTCAGGATGCGCTCCAGGAGCCCCAGAGAATTTACAGAGAAGCTGGTCAAGGCGGAAGTTGGAAATTCTATGAAAAGGAAGGTGGTTAGGGCTGGATGCCCTCGTGTCGGGGGGCTCAACGCAGATCCAAGACGTCCGCGCGGAATGTTGAAAGTATACGCTAATGCCGCTTTTTATGATTCGACCCAGGCTCCTCTGAGAAGTGGTGGGCGGATGAAGGACGAGGGAGGAGGGAGGGTTATGTTGCACCCATCGTACTTAAGGACCACATCCCCAACATAATTTCGAGTACCCCGAAACATATCGAAAACATGTCAACCGAATATCGCCTTCCAGGGCCCGGCACGTGAAAATCTTGGAGCTTCGGTACTTCTTTGGTACTCGAAATTATTTCTGGTGGTCAGGCCTGGAGTATCTTGAAACATCATAGAGGGGGACAGACTGGGGACCAGGGACGCTGGGCCCCAGACCCACACAGGGCAACACAAGAAGAACGCCCCTATCAACGCGACCTCTTGGGCTGCCTTGAACCCTATGAAAGCAGAAAAAACTGATATGCTGAACATGTATGTGTTCCCATCAGAATTTTGACGATTAGCTTCTGTGGGTTCCTCTTGGGGCCCTCTTGGATCGTCTTGGAGCAACCTTAGGGTGTCCCGGGAGCCTCGTAGACCGTATTGGAGCCAATTTAGGCTATCTTGGGGCGCTCTCGGGCTGTCCTGGTGCGTCTTGGGGGTGTCTTGGCCCGTCTTGGGCGCTTCTGGGGCCGTCTTGGGCGCCTCGGGGGCCCCAAAAGACCATTCGAGCCCGGGTTGGCGCGCCTCGCCCCTCCGTTGGAACCCCTCCCTTAAGGGCTTCGCCCCACCAAATAACGTACATCACTCGTACCTCGCTCTTTCCGTCACCTGCTTGGCATGGGGACGGAAAGCGCGTTTACTCTGTGAGTGCGCGAGGTCGCCGGCTCAGTGTCTTGGAGCCCAATTAGTGTCAAGGCTTCGGTAAGACACAACAAAATCTAGCAACCAACCTTGCGAAAATCAAAAGACATATTGAATTTCCGAGCCTTCCGGGGGGTCCTTTTGGGGCGTTTTGGGGCCGTCTTAGGGCCCGTTTGAGCCGTCTTGGCGGGCTTGGGCCGTCTTGGGGCCCTCTGAGAGCCCTCCTGGGTCCCCTTGGACCTCCTGTGGCCCTCTTGGGGCTCTCTTGGAAACCTTTTGGGACCCTCAGGGGCCTCTCTTGGGCCGTGTTGGGGCTCTCTGGGCCGTCCCCACTTGTTTGTTCCCTGCCATCCTGTGTTGTTGGGTCCCCGTTTTGAAAAGACAGCGCACCGCGTCTCTCCTCCTCTCCTCCTCCTCTTCCTCATCCCTCCTCCCCCTCCTTGCCTCTGCCCTCCGGCACACCCATTACAACGTTTCGTGGCCCCATATCTGTACGAACGAGATGGGCACGGAAAGAATGGGTACAATGCCCAACAGCGGATCCTGTTCATTTTGAACAGGACTCGCTGTCCACGCCGCCGCGGCCTGTGTCCATTCGAGACAGAAGGACGCCTGCCCAACAGCGGCCGCTGTTCGTTTGGGACAACATTTGCTGCTGGGCACTGTACCCATTTTTTCCGTACCCATTTCGGGTGTCCAAACCATAGGGAGCTCCACCGACGGCCCCAGTGACAGGGCCGGCGTGCCGCCGAATGGCCATTTCGGCACACCCCTCACACGCTTCGTGGCCCCAGAAAGAGTTCCACCGGAGGCCCCACCGGCAAGGCCCGCATGCCGCCACCTCGCAATGTCGGCACACCCGTCACACGCTTCGTGGCCCCATAGGGAGCTCCACCGAAGGCCGCAATGGCTGCGTTCGCATGCGGTTCCCCCCCATTTCGGCGAACCCCTCACGCGTTACGTGGTCCCACAAGGTGCTCCACCTGAGGCCCCAGTGGCAGCGCCCGCATGCGGTTCCATCCCACATTTTGGCGCACCCCTCGCACGTTTCGTGGCTTGAGACGGCACCACGGCACCACCGAGGGCCGCAGCGGCAGGGTCCGCATGGCCGCATGGGGAGCTCAACCGAGAGCCCCAGTGGAAAAGGCCGCCTGCCGCCGACAAGCTACTTTAGCACACCCCTCAAACGTTTCGCGGCCGCATAGGAGGATCCACCGAAGATGGTACTCACAACTGCGGTACGTATCACTGCTTATGGTTGGGTCCTTCGCCAGACTACTTTTTTGTGACCCAGTCCAGTCGATCAGCTGGCATGGATGGCGCACTCCTCCGGCGTGGGAGTGCTCAAGGTCGTGCTGATCACGCCCATCTTCACTGCCCTTCGAAGTCCATGTGGCGCAGAAAACAGTGCGGTGTGTTGCGGGAGAGTCGAGCCGCACCCTGCAGAGGATGTCATGACGGCACGAGCAAAACGGACGCAAGGGAACTCTGCGGAAGAAGACTCAACTCTTGAGCCTAGTTATAGCCGCAAACGGGCCGTCCCACATCCGTTGCATCAAAAATGGAGAGGCGAAACTACGAGGATACAGATCGAGATCACGCTTGACACACGACAACTCGTCGCGTCCGTCATGCGGAATTATCTGCAGCTGGCAAGCAGGTGCCCAGGCTGGTGTGTGGCACTGGCTGACATGCAGAAGCGGGGCAGTGCCAAGTCAGAAGAATATGCGTGCCGCAGCGCTGCCTAACCGAGCCGAGAGAGATGGGCAGGAGGAGGAGGAGGAGGAGGAGGAGGAGGAGGAGGAGGAGGAGGAGAAGAGTGAGGCGTGATGGCGCGCGGGCACGTCAGAGGCGGTGCGAATGGCATGCGTCGCCGAACGGCAGGCGAGGAGAGAAAGCCCCGGGATTGGTAAGTAGACCAGACAACACTGGCGCTTGATCACCTGCCACCCTCACCCTCCTCTTCCCCCCCCCCCGATCCCGCGGGCTGTTCACGGTTCAACGCTTGCTCTTCCGAACACGCGTGCGCACACCGCGGACTGCCATCTTGCTGACAGCCCGCGGAGACGTCTACCGGGAGGCAGAAGCTGGAGGCAGAACAGAAGCTGCCAGGAAGCAAAAATTTGCACCCCCGCAGTGGAGCCAGTTGGGCGTCCCCCCTCCCACAGGGCAAATTGGCCGCGGTGGGCGGTGGCTGGGTTGTCCCGTCGGTGGCGCGGGGTGTCACGCGCGGTAGCGTGGGGTGTCCCGCGCGATGGCGCGGGGTGTCGATGAGATCATTAGTGAGGGGAAGAAATGAAGCAGGAGGAGGAGGAGGAGGACACTGCTGACGATTATCAAAGTTGGCACATGAAAATATAAACAGGCAACTACTCACACCGATGTAAACTTCCTCGCCGTGCCCACATTCATAGTGGGAGACGGTTCCCCTTCAACCACTACCACCCTCGCGCTCCCCCTGACTGGGATCCCCCCTCCTTTCCAGCTACGCGCGCAAAGCGAAAACCAGACCAGACCTGTCCTGCGCCCGCGCCTGCGTGACGCGCGCCAAATCGCTGCTGCAGCCGTCGCTGCTTGACTCTGCCTTGCGCCTACACGCGTGAGAGCGCACGCCCCGCGGACCGCTCGCCCACGA